CTGTATAATTTTTTTCAAAAACACTCACGATATGAGATATTCTAAGATTAACTAGACATTTTTTTTATTAGACATACTGGTGTTACCATCTTTGTCTTGAGGCGGTCTTCTAGTAGTGTTTCGGATACCGCAGGCATAAATCGGGTTCTTAAAAAAGTACATTCATAGACTACTTTGTGTAAAATGCAAATTAATCTATGAAAAAAACAGCTTCCCAGGAGCAGGATTCGAACCTGCGATTGCGAAACATTTCTTGATGACTGACTCTCGCAGCCGAACCGTAACACTTCTTAGAAGACTTCGGCCCTTCTAGACTCAACCCATTCAGCTGGACCTGATTATTGCCGGTTTTCTTTCGGTCTCGCAGTTTAACTTCTGAGGCAGCGATATGTATCAAGAGTAAAGGCAGGAAACCTCTCACAGTGTTATCCGCCGGCTGCAGAGAACAACAGTCTGATGCCATAACCACTCGGCCATCCTGGGCGACATCGAACTTCAAAGTTGCTTTATTCTTCTGTTCCTTCCTGGGCGTAATACTTTTCATCAAGGATGTTCGCTGAGTTCTGGAAAAATGAACTGTTTCAAGTAGCGGGCTGAGATCATATAAACCAGACATGATTTATTCTATTTTATTATTTTATTCATAAGTGTAACACAATTATGTTAAATGCTAAAATCGCTTGTTTCACAGACATGAAGGGCGTGTGTCACAATTTAAACATACGAAAAAAATGAATACTTACGAAATGGTGATATTCGGAATTAGCTTAAATTTAGATTGGACTGCAACTTGTAATGCTGCTGTGTTAGAAATGGTTAAAGACGAAATACCGAAAGAATTGTTGTATTTTCCGAATTTGTTATCATGTTATGTACTAAATATGTTTGATTCACAGACAAACCTGAGCTTGAAACATGCTAAATAAATCCAAATACGAATTGTTGTATTATTTAAATTTGTTTGGTTTTATTAACTTCGCATTAGAAGATTGACGAGGGCTATTGGTGACGGACCTCGTTATTTTGAACCTCGGACAAGTGACGAGGATGACACCTGACCTGACACCCTTCTCTTAATTTCCACACCACGCCTTTTGAAGACTTTGTGTCCCGACAGATTTAACATACATCGGCCTCTACCACACTGCGGTTCTTCAGTGGCATCAAGTCTAGAAAATTGATTCGACAAAACCCTCGTCCGCGAGTCCAAGATCATGACCACTAGGCAACCGTGGCCGCAGAATTGAATCAATCGATCGTGCTAATAGTTTAGTTTTTAAATATTGAGCAAGATTTTAATAATATTTAAATGAAATTAAATATATATACAATATGAAATTCTATGTGAGAGCTATGTGCCTGAATATAGGGTACACACACACACTCATGCATGCACTCACACTCACATACACACACATATATATATATAGCTGAAGTATTTATTTAGGCGGGAGGTTTGTGTTAATTTTCAATTTTCTTTATCTGTATGGTGTCACAAGTAATTTTAAGTTATCTTTCTTTAAAATCTTTTGCATAATTACTTAGATCGTGCTTGTTATATGTTCATGAGATATATATTGTATCTCAGGGGGATTATCTTGCAAAAAATTGGCGTGTTATTCTAAAAATTAAAAAAAAAAAAAAACATGCTGTTACATTTTTATAATTGCGATAAATATCTTTAATTTAATTTTTTTAAGAAGCAATACATATTAATATGAATTAAGCAATATTTTCTTTGTTATCACTAAACACTATCAACCGACGGCGTTTTTGGCAAGAATTTCTCATCCTCTGAGCATTTTTCTGCATTATCTTCAGATCCATCCTCTACCTTTTGTAAAAAATATGTTATATTAGATTGCTTACCTTTAATTTAAAGGTCTTTATAATTTTCCTAATATGTTTCTAAGCGTTTATGAAGTTCTCTTTTAAATTTTCTGCTTCTTTCATTCGATGTATCTTCATTTAAGAAATATGACTCTTAACTGTTCTACTAAGCTAAGGCCTTTAGTCCATCGTTAAATAAAAGCTGTTTAAAAAATTGTTTTCACTAATATTTATTTAATTCTATTTAGTCTAAAAATATAAGACTAGAAAAAGCAATACATGATCTATACGTGTGAGCAAAATTTCAACTGAAGTGAAAGTTGTTATATATGTGAGAACTTGCTTCCAGGGTGCCTTTCCTAAAAATCTGTCATAGTGTGAGCATACCATCGTATCGTATTGTCATCCGAGTTATATGTGTATGCAAAATTTCATCTTGATCGGTTGATAGGAAGTTGGTTAAAATTCGAGTACAAACTTTGAACTGGAAATATGTATTTTTTACATACATATGAACATAGCAAATTAAATAAAAGCTTCTAAGGGTTACTTAGTTATTTAGCAGTTACTCACAAGTCAGATCCAAGTCAGTAATATAACTTATACGCAGGTTCCGACTGATTTCCATTCGCAGATCCATAATTCACTTTTTCGTTCCATTCTCTCTCTTTATTCTTATCAGAGCAAGTCCACATCTAATTTCTGTGTTTTCATCTTCCGATCATTCTCTCTATCGAAACTGCTCATTAAATTATTCACTGATTACAAATGCTATAAAGTAAATTTTATTCACTATATTTAACTCTTTCTATTCTAATTTACAAATGTCACGGTTCTTTTATTGGAAAAGGTTCTCAAATGAAATAACATCATATGAAAGTTCTCAAGGATTAGTTGTAGGTAAACCGTTGTTAGTTAGTGTAGAGATTTAATGTACTGTACTCCTCGTTTTTTTTTTTTTACACGAGCACTTTTGGCGGTATTCTGCGAATGCTTTGGTCAAGCCGCGTGTTCGAGTGCTAATTCCTCTAAAAACCATCGTGTAACTTAGCGTTAAATCTATCGTGCCACAAGATATTAGCTTTGGCATAGTGTGGAAGTTAGAAGAGGGGGCTTCCAGCTCAGGTGTCGTTCCTTGTCTCTTGGCCGTGATTCAAAATTATGAAGTCCATTGTCAATAGCTCTTGTGTGTCTTTTAAATGTTACGTTATTAAATAACTAATCTTTCTTAATATCATAGAGAAGCAAATTCTTAATATGGAATTGACAAAATTATTCCTTTTTTTATGTGTCTGAAAACGGTTTTAACAAATCAGTTTTTATTCCTTATTATAAAATACTTTGTATATTTTTATATAACAATATTAAACTGAGTTAAAAAAAATTTAACAAAATATTCCTTTTTTGCGAAGATTACCAACCCTGTTTTACACATTTCCTTAATGCTATAAAACGTACAGAGCCCTGCTATTCCTCATTTTTTCTGAGAAGTCACAAATCGATATTTTCTTTCACCCCCGAAAGAAACTGAGGATCCTTAACGAGTGTATTCTTCATTCAGCTTCTGAAATATTTTGCACAATACTCTTTCCCTCCTCTATTCCAGAGAATGCTATATATATTTATATGTATGTGTGTGTACGTTTCTTTCTTTTTATATACATACTATACTTCCCTGTACACAAGCGCAAGTTTTCACAGAGTGATCTAACCCCATGGACGAGGAAATATATCACTCTTTTCCTCTTTTGTTAGATATTTATATTCGTCATTTCTGACTTCATGTTTTATGCATTAACAGCTTGATATTCTATGCTTCAACTCCACCTTCATTGCATATTGAAGAAGGCTTTGTCTTATACAAATAGGAATTCGCCTCTTAATCCTTTTTTTTTTTTTAAAAAAAAATAATAACTGAATTTCTCTTAAGATTTTATGATTTATGAATTCTATGATTCTATTTTTCTGAGATTTAATTTTCTATTTTATTTTTCAGAGAAGGGATGATTTTATACACACACAGGTTAAATATTGCGTACTGCAACTATCATAGTTGATAAATATAATTATTAATTACAAATTATTGTACAAGGTAGTATCATAAAGCTTTAAATAATACCAAGAAGCAACGGAGAAATATGTATAAAGTTTATTCTGTACATTAAGGCTCCCGTCTACCCGCCATTTTGATTTCATCAGCTTAATGTTAATCCTATGGAATTTCGACTTGAATTCTCCCATCTTTATTATTTGATCTATTTGAATGCAATAAAGTGCATCTGAAAGAGCAAAAAATAATGAATGCTTCTGTGGAATTACTTTTTTCCTCCGATTTTTAAAAATAATTGAAAATATTTTTTAAAGACCGAAAAAATCAAAAACGAATAATTAAAATAAGAATAAAAATATTTTTAAAAATCTTAAGAAAAAGGTAATTCCACAGAAGCATTGATTATTTTTTGCTCTTTCAAATGCACTTTATTGCATTCAAATAGATCAAATAATAAAGATGTGAGAATTAAAGTCAAAATTCCATAGGATTTACATTACGTCAACGAAATCAAAATGGCGGGTAGACGGGAGCCTTAATTGATTCTTATGTACATAATGTTGAAAACTACAGCTATTCATGTTGATTTGTTTGGTTTCAAGAAGCCGTAGAGTGAAGTAAATCGCAGTATGGAGAAGATGGAGTTCAATCTGCTCAGTTCTACAATGACGTTCTTCGAAAGGTCAAGAAATACTGATTAACTTTAGAAGGTGACTTTGTCTAGAAATCTTATGAATAATAAATAAAAATTGGTTTCATTCATTTAAGTTCAATTAAGTTATCTCAATTTTCTTTAGTAATAATTAACATTTACGATACCCCAGGATAACAATTTAAATTGCAGCGACCCTCTTCTACAACAGCTCCAGAAGTTAAAACGCCTTACTTAACTAGCCAGATATGTTGTCTTTTCGACCTAGTTGGTAGAGGCACAGCAAAAAGCAACCGGTAAACTTTCTTTCGGGCTCACTGGACCAGGGTTCGAAACAACGCTGTCGCATCAAGGTCACCCACAACTCTTTCCCTAATAACATCTCCAGATGCCTTGGAAGAAACGTCCTACGCCAAAGTGGTGACTCAGGACTTGAACACTAGATGGCAGCACAGCCTATAACTCCTGGTTGCATATGTCCCCGACACAAAACACTTGCCTCTATATGTCTAACTAAAGACAACCTCATATAACTAAATCATGACTAGTGATATTCCGGCTCTGGTGCTCGTTTCTACGAGACCCACCATTCAATACGAGACAGTCGATGACTCAAATGGAAACTGTCCCAAGTAAAACTCAATTCAATAGGGAGGGGATGTGTATCAATTGCAGTAATGGCTAAAAAGAAATCAAAGCAACCTTCTATACAAACCAATGTTTCTCTTCGTATCATCACGATGTTATTGGAGAGGGAGTATGCAGCGACTCTCTTCTACAAAGTCGCAAGAAGTTAAAACGCTTTACTTAACTAGCCAGATGAGACGTCTTTTCAGCCCAGTTGGTAAGAGCGCATTCTTCGGAGAACTCATGAAAAATTTGATTTTACAGGTTAGTATAGCTTTTTGTAATCACACATCAAAATATATTGTGGTAAAAATCACTTATGAT